GCTTAGCTGCCATAGGTAGCTGCCTTTTTTCCGCATCATATCTCCCTTCCCTGCTCCCCTTTTGCCAGCGTAAGAGCTAACTTTGTCTGAACCCCTTGCTGCTAGGAGTCTGGCCATCCTGATGTGAAGGGAATCCAGACCCACTGACAACTCCAAAAAGGGTTCAGCTGCTTCTCGGGTAGCTGGAATTAATTTCAGGGCGAGGAGACGTAACTCAAGCTCGTCTCCGGTGCAATGAGCGGGCGCACGGGGTGGCACGGCACGGTCCCGTTCCGGCAGCAGTCCCGATGGAACAGGAGGCGGTTGATCTGAAGCAAAGCTCCGCTCACGAGCCACTGTGGGACCAACGGTCCCGTGTTCCTCTCTGTCAAAACGCCACAGCAGATTTAATGGAACAATTCTCCTCTCTGGGAATTAGCGACGCTATTTATAACATCCCTTTTTCCCAGGGTCTCGGTGCCTAACTCCTTCTGTTCCTTTCCCACGTCAGTTCCAGCAGCTAGTCGAGTCGGTGACGGTAGGACACTAACTATTGAGTAACCTCAGCGTCTTGTTCTCCTCAGTGTACCGAAACATCCCTTTCCTTTCTAACAGCCGAATTTGTTGTAAGTAGAAAATTTCTCATCTCTGTTAATGAGACTAATACTTGAACATAATGATCACAATCAAGTTTGGAAATTAAAAAAAAAAGAAAAAAGAAAAAAAAAGCATTGATTCTTTATATGTACACTGGCTAAAAATATTGCTCTACACTGTAACTTTTAAGTGTAATATTTCTGTATGAATGTCGCCTGGTAGTGTGGGTTTGAGTAGCATTGTGTATGGGTGAACCCACTGGCCTCTGCCACCCACTGGCCTCCCTCACAGCCCTTTGAAAAAACAAAGCCTTAAGTCTTTGCTCCTTGAACTTTCCTTAACGAGCATGGTTTAAAATCTTAAGACATCATACAAAATTGAAAAAAGAAAAAAAAATAACAAGTTTTGAAGTGACGTCATAGTTGGCTAGAGATTCTTAAAAGTTTTTCGTAAATGGAAAAATTAGAAAACATTTATTTGTATTTTTTTAATTTAGACGTGTAGTCCTGGGCTGTAACAAATATTTAGGTTTCAAAGCTTAGCAGAGTACGTTTTCTGACTCCTTGCGTAAGTTAGTACACTTATGTCATTATTTAAATTCTTTTAAGTGTACTATAAACCGTTCTTTAGTGGTAACTCTTTAGCAAAGTTAAGCAATTTGACTAAAGACGGATTAAATTATGTGTTGGCTTGTGTTGCCTTATATTTAAAAAGGAAAAATTGCCTGATTGTGTTATGCCAAATGATAGCAACATGAAGTCCTAATTTATTGTTTATAATCGTATTCCTGCAGTCTTTGTGAAAACTGGTAAATATACATCTATGAAAGAACTAAAATCCTGAGGCTTTTCATGCAATATTTTTCTGAATACATTCTATTGGAAGCCAAGGTTCGCGTCTGAAGCTGCTTCCCTTACAGTTTCCCCGGCGCCTTCCCCGTCCTCCTCCCCGAATCGATCGAGGGCTGTGCTATGACTCTAACCTCTCCCGCGAGTTAGTTACTGTAAGGTGTTCTGCTACCTGAATACAGACCTTTTTACTAAATAAAACATTGCCATCTCCTCTGTTCCGTAGCCTGCTACAGCTCTCAACCCCGACTGTTATTAAAAGCTCATTTTTTCCTCCTGCTCCTCTCCTGAGCGAGAGACTGAGCCGAGTCCCGTGTGGTGGTGTTTGTGGAGGGGGTTTCGATGCCAGGGAGGCGTTGGCGAGAGCGGTGGCACCGCGCTGGGAGTTGCTGGGGATCGTTCTGCCCGGGCAGTCGCAGGTGGAGCCACAGGCTCTGAGGCTTTGCCCCGGTGCAGCAGGACCGGGAAGCAAAAATACTCTTGAGACTCACCCACGTGGGACATTGCTTGAAAAACAGGAATCATTTTACTATTAAAATACACCAAAATCTTTCCTTTTGTTCCAGGAGTGAGATTTTTCTTTAAGCCAGCCCTTTTCGCTTCCCCAGCAGCCTGTTGCTGATGAGCTCTCCTTCCTCCACCTTCTCTCCAGAGACACACACCCCTGAACACGCCACAGCAGCGGGCTCCCGATGTGGCCCTGTCCCTTCCCAAGGTGACAAAGGGAAGAGCAGCCGAGGCACAAGCCCGAGGCCGGTGGTGCGGTGGGAGGTGTGCTCTCCTGGAAGCGTTTGTCCACACGCAGTTTTGTTTCACGCTCTGCCCGGTGCAGGAATAAGAGTAACTTCACTAAAGGCGCGGGACCCCGACACAGATGGTCACCTGCCGCAGGGGTTCGCTCTGCTGCTCTCCTTTGGCCTTTTCGTCCTGAGCCCTGCCTCCAGCAGAAGGTTTCTGTTCCCTGGCAGATCCTGGGCACTCACAGCTGAGGGTTCTGCTCCTTGAGGGAAGCGTAAGGTGTTTTCAGGTGTTTTCCTGAACCATTTACACAGCACTGTAGTCTGTCCCTTTCCAGCACCACCCTGATTTAGCAGAATGTCATCATCCTGAGGGTTCCTGGCACCTCCCGTGCCAGCCAGAGGTGGACGTGAGATAGATCCTGGGAGGGATAAAGGTGGAAGTGGTGTAAACCCTCCCACGAGGGAGCTTCCATCACGTGTCTTATCTTTCGAGCAGAAGCTTTGAAGCTGTTCAATCACAAGCCCAGTTTGTTACAGCCCAAAGTTAACATTTTATAAAGACACTTGTGAATTTTCTTTTAAGCTTGCAATGTGAAAGATGTCTCCGTAGGACTCAGCCGCTCCCGTAGAAACCAAACAGAAATGTTTGCTGGGGCTCACTGGGGAGAGAACTGGGAATTGCTGCTGTATTTCATTAAACCACAGAGTGATTATAAACGCTGCTGTTTATGTGCTACGGGTATGAACTAGATTTTTTTTTTTTTTTTGTCTGAAAGAAAAATAAAAAGGAGGGGGGAAAAAAAAGAGACCCGATCGCTCTGCACCTTCTGCTGGTTTATGCAGTGCGAGTGCGTGAGGCTTGCGTGGCCGTGGCCAGCAGCACCGGGCGGCACAGGGTGGGAGCTTGTCCCAAAGGGAGTTTGGGAATGGGAGTTTCTGGGGTATGAAGGTGTCACGGCACGCCCTGGCTGCCTTTCTCCACCAGTAAGAGCACCAAGAAGGTCTGGGAAAAAAAAAGAGACAAAATCTCAGAGCCAGAAAGGCGCTGAAATCATTATTAAAAAAAGGAGGAACAGGAGGACCCGAGGAGGTGGTTTAAATCCTGGCGAGGTGAACTCGAAGAGATTTTTGACAGCGACTGTGAGGGTTAGGGCTGTCCCATGCCCTAAGGCTCTGCTCTCCCTGGCCAGGACAGGGACAGAGCGCTGCTCCGAAAGCTGGACCTGGAAGGTTCCCTCGAAGGCACTGACTGCCCTGCAAAGTGCTGCCCCTGATAGCGGGTGTAATAAGCAAAACTCTGAGGTTATTAGCATAATACAAAATACAAAATGTGAAAGGGGATTTGTAACATTTGTAGACCCTTTCTGGAAGACGGGAGCCACGAGGTTTTTCTCCCTTTTCCGGTGATCGTCCATCTGATTTCATCTGCGTGCTTTCACCTCTAAGAACGACACGAGCTCAAAACCCATCTCCTCTGCGCTTGCTGCCAACATCTGAGTGTTCAAATCCCTCTGATGGCAAACTCATACCTTTCATACAGTTTCCAGTGTTCCCCAGATACTAAGAAATATATTTGGGTCCCATAAGCTTTTCCAGGAATTTGGGCTAAACCGGGCAGCTTAGCCCAGCTAAGCCTAGGCGGGCAGGGCTCTGCCGCATCCAGCAACGCCGAGAGCAGCTGCTCTGTCCCTCTGCCCTTTGACTCAGCATCACTGGAGCTCCTTTGGTATTTGGTGTCTTCATCTGTTCCCCCCCCCAACAGGAGGAATCCCTTCTGCAAAAATTCTTCAGGAGACTTTGACACTGCCTTTGCAGCTGGTTTGAGCTGTTTACCGAAGATCTGCGATAACGAGCCAGCGGGGACTTGGCGTGAGCACCTGTGGCCACAGCAAGCTCAGCTGGAGGCTTCGCATGGTGGAGTAAGACCCAACCTTTGAAAACTTCTCCTTTAGGGCCAGATAGGGTTTTCTTCCAAAGATTTAATGGCTGTGATTGATTTCTGGCCCCCTGCACTGAGCTCACCGCACCCTGGTAGACGGTGGGAGGATGCGAACGTTGAGTTTGACCCAAGGGTAGGCGACACACCGAGATGTTCTCTGCTGACAACCAGCCGCACGTCGTGTCGTGATGGAGGCTGTTTGGAGAGGAGCGACTGCTGCAGACACTGCAAAAATCAGAGCTGAAAAAAATCCTACCCAACGCGGGGGTCCTGGAGGGTCCACAGGGGTCCACAAGGACCTGTTGAAGTTAGGTCTGAGCTGGGGGGCTCGTGTCGGACATCCTCCAGCACCGGCCACCTCTCAGATGCTGTTCCAATGTTCAGCAAGGCCAAACTGCAGTGAAATTACTGGAGTATTTGATCTAATTAGTTTAAGTTCATTTCAAAGCAATTGGGTACAAACCGTTAATTGGGCTGGGCTGGCTGCTGGCCTGAGAGATGGGCTGCAACTGAGGCGGTGAAATGGCACCAAGGTTTAGATGGTCCCACTGCCAAACCCTCTCTTTCGCCGCCCTCAAACCCCTTGGTCCTGGGGAGGGGGGGGGAGCCCGGCCGGGTTTTTAATAAAGGATGTGCAAAGCCAATTTGTCTTCTGTATTTTTCTCTCGCTGAAATATTAATGTCTGGCTCGGCTGTCTTGGCTAAGGCGCATCAGTAATCAGCACAAATCAGGGCTCTCAAGTGGCTTTGCCAAAAAT